AAAGTCGAATTCAAAATTCAATGAGTGCTATATCGCTTTATTGAAACAGAGGTTTTTTTTATATGGAAATAAAATACTTTAAATTCTTTTTCACTTACAGAGCGCAGTAAAATATTTGTTATAAAAACTAAAAGCCGAAATAGCACACGCTTAATTGAATTCTGTCCGACATTTTGTACGAAAAAGATTTCGAGGTTCAAAATAATTTAGGTGGAAACATTTTGCATCCATTGTTACCAGTCAATCTTTTATCGCATCAACACTATAGAGTGGTTATTGGACATGAGTGCAAATAGCTTTTAAAACAATTACTTTGTTGTCCAATACGGTTGGAAGGCACTCAAATTGATTTATTCAGTACTACATTGTATAAACATGTAGATTAAGAGCCTTTTAAAATTTTAACCTGAATGCGCAGTGTAGGTTAAACACTCGAGTAAGCATATCGGCTCAATAGAGCGGGCCGTTTTATTTATGGTACTTTGAAGTTGATCAGTCCAGTGAAAAGGGTAATTAGGTGAAAGACTCATAGGATCGTTGGGCCGGGTGATCGCGTTAACAAATTAGAACGTGTTATTGAACAAAGTATCTTTTAATAACACCATCAGCCCACTGACATAAAATGAGTTCACATATCCACCACATATGACATATTTTTTGGTTTATTTATAAAATATCTTTAACACTAGTGTTAGCCTACGATGTCTAAGTTTAGAAAAATACGCAAACTTTCTTATGTAATAGGTTATTTGTTAGGTATTTTATAAAAGTAAGTTGATCAAGCAATAGATTATTGTGACTAATACATTTGTTTTCAATTGTTTTGAAATTTATTATCTCAAAAATAAGTAACTAAATCAAAACAGTACAATGTAATTTAAAAGTTGTATACTTTATCAGTTATTTTGTTTGCTTGTTTTCATACACAAAGGTCCAAAAACTATATGTTGTGACGCAGTTTTAACATCCTGTGGTAAACTGACCTTCGTCAAACCACTAGGGGGAATCTAATCTACGGTCGGACCGCGCGACGCGAGCGCCTGTCATTATTTTTCGGCAGCCTTCATTCGTGTGTGCTTCCCCACATTTCTGCCCCGCACTGGCATTTGACAGTTCAATTTAAATTTGAGTTGCAAAATAATAACTCGTTTCATCGTTTCGTAAACGAATTTGTTTTTCTTACTCTACCTTAAACAATTGGAAATTTCAAATAACTTTTTAGACTAAACAAGGATAAATATACAAATACTGATTACAGCAACCGTGTCCATTGCTTATTTTGAAATACATTTTAATTACATTTTTATATATTTCATCTATTCTAAAAGAATTATTAAAAATACAAAAAATAAGATAAAAATGCATAACATTAGAAAGGGATTAAATAATTTATACTTTTTATTTCTTAGATTGTCACAAACAATATTAAAAATTTAATTTTAAAAACATTCCGTAAAAGGTAGAAAGTACACAACTGTAGAAATGTATTTATCGGTATGCAATTAGATAACTCTAAACAAAAGTTACCACTTTTTTCAAAACCCCAAATAAAAACTCGCCAAAACCGAAATACAACAAAGACAGAACGTGAAAATGTTATCTCGGTGAATGGAAAAGTATTAGCTATCTAGAAAGCAAAAACTCACGCAGGCCGTCCGCTTATTTCAGTGGGCAGACATGTTTCACAAAACCTAGAGCCGTGTTTCTATTTCGATTACTGAAATATTGGAAATAAAATATAACCGCTATCGCATTTCCACGCGACAGGCGGAAATAAAGCCTGCCGACAAATCGACACGGCTTCGGAGCGTTCCCGGCGACAGACAGACAGAGCGACGAGCAGGTAAATATTCTATAGGTGTCTGATCCACGTCGCTTTGTGCTATTGTTGTGTAACCGACGTATTCCCGACTCAACTTCATATTAAACTTTTCTATTTGTATATTGACATTATGTTACCTCTATGTAGACTCTGTTTTGATTTTGTTGTAAATTGCAAATTGAAATAGAAGACTTATGTAAAGCTACTAATTCAATCAACAAAGAAGTGATGTGTTTTGTTTTAATCAATTTATGAACTCTAGATTATTTATTAAGTCATTTATAAACATACCAAATATTGAACTCGTTTCAAAGAATTCTCATAAAGAATATTCAAATCGTGATTACTACTGCTGCTACGTGCTTTATTTCTCGTAGAACCTTAGAATAGAAACGAAAACCAAATCTGATTAACATGTTTTAAGATTAACTAATTGATTGAGCAACGAATTAAATAATGGGATTTTAACATTCACATGTTTTTAAGAGCAGATGAAATATCTGTGACGTAGATAAAACTAAAATGTACCAAATAAATAAAAGAGCAAAGCTTTTTAACAGCTAAACGTGTTAGAGGTGTATTTGTCTCTATTTTGTATGTTAGCACCTAGTTTAATCAGGTCGGGGTTTTGTTTTAATTTAATTGCAAGTGCTGGGCAATACAAGAGCGGGATGACGTAGGTGAGTGTGCGCGCCGACAACGTTCATTACGCGGACAAAGTAGAGTGTTTTCAACGTTAAATTGAGTGTAGAGAGGCAATTCGAAATGGACGCCTGCTCACGACACCGCCCCGGACAGTTGGAGTTTTTTAATTTTTGGCCCAACGGTGAATGTAGCCGGCTACCCCTGCCTACCTTTCTGTTTGTTTTACGTCCAGTTTTTGTACGTCGAGTCGAGCGCTGCGAACGTCGCTTTTCAATTACGCCCGCTCATCCGATATAACGATATAAATATTGCTTTTCAAACCAACGCCACGTTGGTTTCGTTTGCCAGCTTTAATTGACTACTATTCTTTGTTTTATAAATATTGTTGCCACTACTAAACTCGTACTACTAACTACTTTATAATTGAATGGATCGGGACTCCTGTGCATTCTGTTTTTTCTTCAAAGTAAAACAATTTTGATGTTTTCCTTTTATTTCAATTTTACATTAAGCGATCCACTGCTCGTTTGACCACATCTTTTATAAAAAAAAATAGCATCTATTACACTAAACAGGTTTTTATTTTAGAATAAAAGAAAAATATAAATTTTTGTAAAGTGTAATTAATGTTACCAATGACTAGAAAATTTACAAAAAAATATCTACCAAGAATTCAATCGTGGACTTCAGTTTTACAAAGTTATATCGTGCTTTGCCTCTGCTGAAATATCTGTAACAAGCAAATAGTTATATCGTCGTTTTTCATGTTTTTTGTTATATATAATGATAGTACCAATTAATTTATCTTTTATTGAGTTTCTTTAACTGAAAATAATAACAAAGTTCAGTTTGAAAAAAATGAGTATTCAAAAAATCTTAATTTAAACATGAGTACACAAACATACATAACATAAATTATTAAAAATACAAGAAGTTGACATTATTAAATGTATAAAGAATAATGTTGATGTAACCCATAATAAGCATTTTAATAAATCAGTAACTCGTATATATCTAAAGTAGTTGTTAAAGGATTTAAATAGATCTTCCTTCCCACGATAATTTTCTAACTTTTGTTTCTAATAATAGATTTATACTCTAATTACGGGAAATAATATTATCAAAATTAAAAATAAATTGTATTGGAAGAAAATTATTAATATTAAATATCACAATTTTTTAATATCCAAGAAACTCCATATTTCTTTTAAATTTTGTTGTCTGCCAGTTAGTAAGCGGCGCTTACAAAGAGTATTTAAACTTCGTTTCAGTGTGTCGCCGTAAGACTTCTACCGTGTGGTCGATATACCAAGAACCATATTTTGTTTTTATAATTTCACTACGTATGAAAGCACTAGTACAAGTGACTAAAACATCTGAATAGCGATAATGAAATCCATCTAATTTCAATAACAAAAGAATACAATAGTTCTTTATTCTATCACTATTTTACATTATCTAAATCTAAACAATAGTATTATTAATTAAACATAACCTTGTACCGGTTAAAAAATATATTATATAAAAATAAGAGCACGCGTCTTTTCTCACGACAGAATCTGTCTCTCGTATTTTTGTCATTATTCGTTCAAAGGCAATAAAGAGGAATGTTAATATGTTTTTAAGTAGCGACATTGGCTATATTAGTGAATTGCATATCATTTCTACAGAAAACAATCAAGTAATTTACCTAAATTTAACGCAACATTAATTACTGAAGTTAACATAATTTGGTCAATCCAATGAACGGGACCTTGACCACTGATTGGTCCGATGATCTGGTCAAGGTTACGAGAAACCATTGCACGAGTACAGTATTTATCAAATATCTTGCCGGCTCGGAACTTCGCGCGAGATGGGTAGATTGCAATGTTAAGTGCAAAGAGATGAAAGGGAAAGACGCTAAGCAGCTAACCTTGAGCCGACAAGATATGTGAAAAATATTATACTAATCTTTTTGATGACTTACTCAATTGAAATATTTAAAAAGTGTCTAAATTCAAATATAAACAGAAAAATTCTGATTTAAAACAGCTTACGTTACAAGTTAACAACATAGAGATTTAATGAATGTAATTTTACTTAGCTAAAGAATTAATAATGTTAACAAAACAAATATTCACAACCATGTCAGTCCCTTTAAAACAAACTAGTGTTTATGACAAAAACATACACACATATTAGTGTTTTGTTGAACGACCTTACGCGATGGACTGACTTCACAAGTCTTTGATATTTATCACTATTCATATTGCACCCAAAAACTTACAAACAAACGGTTGTTTTAGTAAAGGTTACGTATTTACAATTTCATCTTCTATAGGTACAAAGGTTTTATTCAAATTATATGCTGTTATTTGTTCAATGTCATTGATAAGATTTTTATATGTTGTAAATATGACAAAGATATGCTAAACTAGAAACGTGTATTATTTACTATTTATGTACGTTTTATTCGTTACATAACAGAGAATATTTTGTTAATACACTAAACAATGTATTAATTACATAACGACAAAATAAACAAGTCCTCATTGTTATGTGTTTTAGGTGCTTCTTCATGTAATAAACTAAACAGATGAAATACTAACATTAACACAAACCTATACTTACGATTAACAAAAGCAATAATCAGTCTAAACAAGTGAGTATTGTATATCAACTTTTCATAAATCTTAAGATAGGATCATTTATAACAGAACTAACTCGTTCTCCGTAAACAAATTCTAAATGAGAAAAATCTACTGTTTTGTTAATCACCATGTTCCTTACGATGTTTTTCAAATTATCCTGGATTAATTTGGCGTCTTTTATAGTACTGATCCAGTCACTTTCACTGATCACTAAGGTAACCGGTGCACTGATAGCTGATAAATCGTAAACTGGAGGTAGGGTGGAGTTATACACTTTGAGATTATTTTTCACACCGTAGTTGTATCGACGGAAACTTTTAAAAACATAACCTTGTAAAAAGTGTAAAAACGTTTTAGCCGAACCACCAGCTGGAATGTGACTGGTTATAATAGGAAGTCTTGCGTCTGGTAATCTTTCCAGTTCTTTTAAGCCGAAATTTATATAGTATTCAAGTCCGCAAAAGAATCTCAGAGGGGACCGCAAATTGCATACTTTAGCATGATATGTGCTAACAAGCACATTGGAAGGAAACACTTCGTTCACCCCTGCTTCAGCTAATAAGGTTAACTTGTCATAGATATTAGCATAAAGTGATATAAGAGGAGTTTGAATGTTATTTATCGTAGCAACCGGCGCTAGCAAAATCGCTTGTTTGATTTTATCATTATACGAAGGTCTCATGCTGCACAATACAAAGAATATTGTAGTACCTTGAGAAAAGCCGACGTAGGATAATTTAGATTGCGATGTTTTAGATAAAATATAATCTATAGTTGCCGGTAAATCTTTAGATCCCATCTCTTCGAAACTGAAGTCCCAATATTTCTTTTGCGATATTTTGTTGATATGTTTCTTGCTGTACTTGTTCCCTCTAGAATTGAACAACCAGACATCAAACTGGTCATCGGCGAGTCGATAAGCCAGCGATTTATTCGGGCCCAGCACCAGCCAGGAGTCTGAGCTATCGCCAATACCGTGAACTAGTAACACTGGAGGTCCTCGTCCAGGGATACGAAACAAAGTCAACACATAACCATCTTCAGTTGTCACTAAATGTTTCTCAACCGGGTAGTTAGATTTAGATATCAATTGCATAGAATCTAAATAAATTTCTGATCCTAAATTACTGAAATCTTTAATTTTGATTTCATGACTGTCACTGTAACTCACTAATAATAATATACTATTGATAATAAACACACATCCGAATTCCATCGTTACAAAATACGACTCGACAGAAACGCGACTTCAGTGATATTGACACGCTCCGGAACCAATGCCATGTAAATAAGAAAAAAATTAAAGGCAATAGCGACTTAAGAAGCCAAACACCTCCATATTATTTACATTACGTAAGCCGTTAATGACTAACAGTAAAATGTCACTAAATATATTAATGGTTTGATGGTCACATTTCAAATGGACAATTGAAAACTAGCAAATGGAAAATCAAAACATGGTTTTCTGCAAATTTATTTGTGACTTTTATCTACTATATAGATAGGAGACCTATAATTTCTCCTTTCTAACAAAGATAAAAACCTAGGTTTTGTCTAAAAAAAAGAGGCAAACGTAATAGACGTTCATATGAAGTTTAAGTTCTGCATCCGTTAATGATGCGCTATCCACCTGTTTGTAAAGACTTAGGGTCCTTCAAGAAGCAAGCCTACAAATTCCTCAAAGGCCGTAACGCATCTGTAGTTCCTCTGGTGTTGCTGATGTCCATGGGCGTCGTTGACCACTTCTCTTATAAAAAAAGAGACACACTCCTTTATGCTCAATATAAACTCTATTATTTCACCTTTAATACCATATTTGTAGAGGATATCCATGTCAAAAATGGTGGCCCTATTTCTTTATACACTTACACTTACACTTACACTTTTTAGATTTACACTTATGTATCTACGTGTTTGATCACGTATTTCTTATACAAGAAATATGGTTAATAACGATCCATGCGTATTTTACAACATAGATCATAAACCCGTTTTACTAGACAATGACCTCTGCACTGTAACTCACTAATAATAACAACTCTGCAAATAAGGAAACTGGTTATTTTTGTAAATGCCTTGAACAGATCAAGGTTATTAAAATAAATAGAAGACTTTTAATATAAACTGCGAAATTTGATCTTGTTGATTTGATATCCTGAACCACTTCGCACTTTGTAGATTCACGCTAGCGTAATTCTACAAGGGTTTTAACATGTTTTTACTATCGTTTTAAATAATAGTAATAAATAAAGATGTTGCTTTTGACTCTATTTCATTTTATACACGCATAAAGTAGCTAAAACATAAAAATATATTGAGAAGCCTTCAGTAACTAGTTTTGTGTGCTGTTCGAGCAACTTAAATCTAAATAATTTTATTCAAATAGATAAGCTTTAAACGAATTACATTTTTAATAATAGAATAATATAAAACCTGTTGCGCCGACCCTACGGGAGTAGGATAAGGAGATGATGATGATGAATAATAAAATAATATGTCGAAGAATTCAAGACAAATATTTAGAGACAAATAGATCTGAAATTAGCATGTTTAGTGGCGAAAGCGTATTTTTTTAAAATATCTTACTAGACAAGGAAGGAAGGAACAACCTCGTAAGTTTTGCATATTAATTGTGACCTTAACTTTTCATTGCCGTATAGTTGTATAACACGTTTTATCCGATGTTGTCATATGAAACCGGTAAAGCGGTACAATAACCCGTACTTGAATAAACAGAATTAACTGTTTCACGTCACTTACCCTTCGATGATTTCTAATTCAGACTGCCTTTTTATTGTCATTAAAAACATTATAATACTGTAAGGGAACTGCTTCATCACCATTTTCGACAGTGGTAGAGCTCGCTTTAATATCTTCGCACGAATGAGTCGGCTCGCCCGGTGTAATACCACGACCAAACAGAAGACAGACGTGAAGTGGAAGCAATTCCGCGTTTCGTCTGAAGAGTGTGGTGCCGGAGGCCCAACTTTAGTCTCTTTTCCTTCTCGCCCTTTTTCTTATAAGGAAAGGATGGGAAGGGAACGTGGACGTGACGCATAGGAATGGGAAATATCCTCTACATGTGTGTTTCCTCCACCGTAGATTAAGGGTAGGCAACGCATCCACTATTGCGAATGTCTATGGGCAGCGGTCACTCCCCCATTTTGGCGGATTTAGGTGACCGCTTGCTCGTTAGCCACCTTATAATATTAAAAAAATTGTGATTATCGCTAATCAAATTATGTTTTCCCGGCACTAAGGTCGCCTCAAAGTTTTTTATTTGTAGTTCAAATCCAGCAAACTGCCGCGATTACTTCGATTTCTTGATTTCCGTGTTCCTTAGTGGTTTGACATTAACGTTGTCATGCGATATTTGTATTAAAATAAGTATTACAAGGAACTGAGTTTAATAGTTAAGGTGGATGTGGCCAACATTTTAATTATGGTCACCAACTTTTATATGTACAATTAAGAATGTCTATTGTGATATAAAATCATTGTTAAATTCATTACAATCATAGCAACATTTTTTTATTGTATTGTTGCATTATTTATTCTATTTATAGCATAAAATTCTCTGGGACAGTAACATTCTTAATGTATTTGTAGTTATATATGTTATTACGAATATGGTATTGCATAATTTAAACAAGGTTTGCGTTTATACGTGTTTGTTTTATTTAAATTTAAAGTTTCTTAAAAAAAATCATGTCTTATTTGGACTCTTACCAAAGCTAAACGCTTGTATATGCACTCTCTGAATTCTGTTTACGGTAGAAATTAAATCATTGATGACATGTACCAGTAGGATTATGCTAAATTGATGTTATGTAATGATGCCAATCCTTTATGTGCAATTTCATAATGTAATCACAACGAAAAAACATCTTTAGTTCTACTACACCCTTCTCGAAAAACATATTCGGTGTCCAAAATTTTATAACTGGTTTATTTTGCATATTAAATTTTATACCCCTGCAATAATTAAATTAAGACGTAAAGATTAGATAGAGTAAACAAAAAGATATAATGCTTTTAGTTATCTTTTGCCAATATTAATAATACATACGTTTAAGAAGTTATCTTTGCATTTAGCAAAGATACGAATCCTTCTTATGGCTTTCAGTTTTTTTGGTAAAATGACGTTTTCCATGTAAAAAGCAATAAATGCGTTAGTACAATATGCTGCAAATGTTTCGAATTAGCATTGCTTATATTTAAGTTACGAACATCCGAAATTTAATATTGTTTTTAAACTGGATCGAAAACTGTTTGTTTGGTTTATAAACAATCGTTTCGACGACGAAAAAATATTGGAATGAACCAATTACCTCATTTCTGAATACAAGCGTTACCGGTGAACATATATGAAAAGAATTTACCATTGTTTGCTGGTTTTAATAAGTGCTTGAGTAATGTCTACAATAATGAATGGAACGTCACATCTCAGTCTATAAATGAAAGGCGATTACGGAATCTGAGCTCATTTGTCATTAGTGATAAAATGAGATCATTTGGATTTTAGTAATTAAAGGTCAGTCTTAATAATCACTTCAGTTTCACTAGTGTAAGTCGTGGTTTGGATTATCTCCTGTTATATTTGAAGAAATGTACGTATGTGAAACGAAATCTCATCTCATCCTATAATCAAACATCGAGTGCGTGTTACTCTAATTTAATAATCATCATTTGTAATAATTAAATCACGTTTTTCGTTTTTTTGCCTTCTTGCTATTTTCTTTTTCTGCACGGTGCAACACGGGTTAGATGGATTCATGAGCTTAATTAGGTAGTGATATTGTAGGTTTGTGTATATTGTGTTCACACTATTGTATAGGTTTTGTGATGCGTTACATCAATAACTAGTTAAATACGTTATCGCCGTCGGCCAAGCACAATGCCTGGATGCGCCCGAAGTCGCACGAGACAAGCCAGGAAGCTGCAGACTATTAGAACCTATACAGGACCGAGAGGTAAGGGAACAATAGCAGGCAATATAGAGACAGTTGCTTGTGCCAATCCGACCGAATTACACATCAAATTTACGGTGATTTACTTGATTTCCGCTTTTCATATTGATTCTAACATCATCGTTACTAACTGTATTATTAAAAATCACGATTTCATAACCTTTGTTTAACAGCTTTTTAAACGTTTAATGTTGATTGGACAAAATCATTATTTTTATCACCACCTATCAGCGTAATTGACAAATAGTGTTTGAATTTAGCGGTGTAGACTAGGATTTAATCAAAAAATAGCATATATCGACGTTAACAGTTGTATTACAGCTTTCAAAGAAACAAGTTACTTCAGCTGTACTTTGATCCTACATTAAAATCTTTTGTAAAATATAATATTAAAAACAAACAAATCGTTCTAAAAGAATATAACCAAAATATACAGACTTTTTATTAACTTAAAATAATTAATTAGCCAATGTGTAAGCTAGTAGTTAACCTAGAGAATAAATAACCAAATAATTGATTCAAAAAAGGTTTAGGGCCAAAGCTGATCTGTATGCATAATATGTACATACAATTAATGCAATCGTTTTCGTAACACGACATTTTTGTTTACTCCCAAAGAAGGTTACTGTTAAAACAAACCAGTAATAGTGATGGATGGAAAATAACTGTTTATAGTATAACTTTTACATATTGCTTATGTGTATCGCTTCAAGTACGTTATTTCCATCTGAGTTAAGAAACGGTAAGTTGATAACTAAAGATTTGTGGTCCTTTTCGTGACGATACTTTTTTATTACCTCAGTAAAGCACATGCCTACTTTTTTTTTAATTTAACCAATGTTTTCATTCTAAATTCATTGTACATCACGGATGACCTTGTGTTATTGAAGAGTTTTTGTCCTAATCAAAACATGTTCGGTCATCGATTGAAATCAAAATTAAAGTTGGAATAATACTCTATTGTTTTTCAGAAACAATTGTCGAGGATTGCCCGCGAAATACAGGTAAGTTATTTTTGTTAACTTTCACTTTTTTCTTTCGTCGACTTTTCTCAGTCGACTGTGTGCTAGTGACCAAGTGGTCTATGTCCATCTCAACATTTATTTTTTTAATTGGATCACAGTTTTTTTAAGTAAGTACATGTTTTAAAATTCTTTCTTATCCATAATGATAATTTGTAAATGACTTCAAACAGTTACAATTTTAGTATCAGTTCCATTAAAAAGACAAGGTGATGTAATTGTCAAAAACCATTTTGAATAATTGGAAAAGTATGGGCTTTTGCTTTAGAAAGTTTTTTATTTATTTTTTAATTTTGTAGAGATTTGACTCTAACCTTTGGGTGCTACTAACTTTTTTCATATGTTTGGATTTACTCCTAGATTTATGGCAAAGAACCTTAGCGAAACACTAAAGTGAAACAATTGACGAAGTAAGTAGTGACACGGGCGCCCTCTATCGTGGATGTCAATTCACTTAAGAAGAGTCGATCATGTCGCCGCTTGCTACTAAAAGCTACTAAAAGCCCTCCATAAAAGCAATAATTAAATTGCCGTAACGCAATTTAGTAAGGCGGTGCTTCCGAAGGTGGCCGGGCGCATGCCTCTTTAGACGTAACATTACTTTACTATATTAATTACGAACCTTTTAGTTTTAAAGACCAAGTCATTTATTCCATAGACAATATTAACATAACGCTTCTTAAAACGACTTCCATAAATTAAACATTTAATTCCCAATTCAATTTTGGTTATCGTAGTGTAGGGGCTATAAAATGTAGACGTTTTTCAATGTCATAGAACCTCTGTAAGTTTAAAAGATAAATCAGGACACGTAATTTTTTAAACTGCTCCGTGTAAATATTCTTATTAAATTAATCTTCATTTTGTTTTTTTTTTTAATACCAACATTCAATTGTTTTCAGCCGGAAATCTCAATCTTATCAAGGATCTTTTTATAACTTTACTTCGAGAAGGTATTAAAAATGTTTTTGTTTTATCTGGTTTGCATGTGCATGCGCAAGTTTAAACAGTGAATTATATTTACACATTTTATCAGCTTACGTTATATTTGAGTGAAGTCCTAAAACTGTACACAGGGCTTAACTACTAAACAGATTTTAATTATATAAAAATTTGTCATTAATTACTTTAAAAATTGCTTCAGCACTGATTGATGTTACAAAGTAATATGAAAAAAATCAATTTGTAAAAAAAACAGACTGTCTATCCTAACATTGAAGTAAACTTAGCAAAATGTTGCGGTATCGATGTCTATATCCTTACATGATCGTTAATATTTATATTTATTATTTACACAATTTTATTTAAAGACTCGAGTTTTTTTAAAGCTATGTATTACGGATGTTGTAGATTATAATAAACGTCACATTCCTACAAATGGACATGCAATTGTTAAGCCTACAGCCTCCAGAGATGTCAGGTAACTTTGCGTAGGTAACTATGTTGTGGGGCTTACTTTTACGAGGATCTACAAAGGTGCCTATACTTTCTCAATGACTTACTATTTACTCTTTTATGAACCTTGGGGTTGTTTCATTCGTAACTGCAACTTTATGTTATCTTATTTGTCTATGGATCACCCCAGCAACAGAAAGAGAGAGGAGTAGGTACAAGAGCAGTAAAACATAAAAATATCTTATTGAACTACCTGTCTGTTCCATTGTTTCTAACAAAAATGAGTAATAAACTATTTGCACCTCAATTTTCCAACACAAATTGATTACCAACTATCTAATTTTTTTATGCGATTGATTATTATGTATTAGCTAAACTTATAATAACGCCTTCTAGTTTATGACCTTATCAATTTCTGGCACTACAGTGTTGTAGTTTTTTGTTTGTTCTGTGCTCTAACTGGACAGGTTGACATTGCTACTGTCACGAAATGTCACTGTAGTGCTTGAAACGTCACTCTACTATTGCATGATGTTTTTATATTATCACACTTGTAAATATTCAAGATCTTTTGTAGTTACTGTTATGAGATAACAAGAAGCGTATGAGTTTCAGTGAGTATTGTGCGAGAATGATGTTTACTACAACGTTAAATTATTACAAGGTCACTAGATGATTGTCTGATGTAATTAAATTAATAATTATTGCTAATACATGTTTACAGTTGGATCCAACTTTTACTTCGTTGTATTCATTTGAAGTAAATTATTAAATTAATTAGATTTATAATTTTATTTTTAGCAGCGATGAGTGAAACTACCACTTTGAGCAGAGTCATTGACTCGGAGCAGATGCAAGCAATCACAAGTGAATTCAACAGATTAGGAGGTAAATGGTTGTTTTAACGCACATTCAAAAATTTATTTATCTATAATTTCAAGTAAATGTCACCTGATATACTATTGATTTAGTAGATAATATATTTTTTGTAATTCTATATCAATTTCAAATTACATACTTATTATATTTCAGAACGATGTTACTTAGAGCATGCTGGTGCCGCATTGTATCCGCAATCTTTGCTTCAACATGTACATGAAGATTTATTGAACAATGTCTACATGAACCCGCACACTGATAAATACACAAGAGATTGTATAGAGCAAATTCGCTGTTTAGTTCTAAATCACTTCCATACAGATCCATCAAAATATTCAATAATATTCACATCAGGTGCAACACAATCATTAAAGTTAACTGTAGAATCATTTGAATTTTCATCAAATACAGAAGAAGGTTTTGAATGTGGTTCATTTGTCTATCTTAATGAAAACCACACATCAGTTCTAGGTCTCAGAGAAATAGCTGAAGACAAAAATGTAGATGTAATTAATATATCGCATGACAATTTTCTTAAATCAATTAAACAAAATCATCCAGCACCAATTGGACAGAAAAGTAAAACTGATGGAAACATTTTACTGGCATACCCAGCCAAAAGTAATTTTAATGGATTTAAATATCCATTAGATTGCATACAAAACATAAAGAATGGATGTTTAAACAGATATTTGATGAAACATTTGTGCAAAGTTAATTGCAATTGGTATGTTTTACTTGATGCCGCTGCTTATGTGCCTACAAATAATTTAGATTTATCAATAACACAGCCTGATTTTGTGTGTTTATCATTTTATAAAATCTTTGGCTACCCAACTGGTTTGGGAGCGCTATTAGTTAAAAATACTAGTGCTGATGTTTTGTGTAAAAAACGATATTTTGGTGGAGGAACTGTTGATATTGTTATTAGTGGAGAAAATTTTCATGTGAAAAGAAAAATTCTTCATGAAAGGTATGTTGAACAAAATCTTTTTATATTTGCCATCATTCAATTTCAAAGTAGTAATTATACATTTTTTTTTAAATTACAGGATGGAAGATGGAACATTACCATTTCTATCAATTTTGGCATTAAAGCACTGCTTTGATATGTTACATAGGCTGATACCTAAGACAATTAACAATCACATAATGGATACAATCTCACATCACACATTTTACTTGGCAAAAGATTTATATAATCAATTGAATGAACTTCATCATCCAAATGGCAAGAAAGCAGTTGTCCTGTATATGGACTCTGATTTCTCTGACATAAAAATACAAGGTGGTACTGTTACATTTAACCTTCTTAGAGAAGATGGATCCTTTGTCGGTTTTATGGAGGTATTTTTGCCTTTTTTTTAAATCTATGGTAATTGCAAACATTTTGGGTATTAACATTCTTTTGTTTACAGTTTCAAAATATGGCAGATCTATTTAATATTAATGTGAGAACTGGCTGCTTTTGCAATTCCGGGTCATGTCAAAGACATTTAAATACATCTAACAGAGAAATGAAAGAAATGTACAAAGCGGGGCATAAATGTGGAGATGAAATTGACTTGATCAATGGTAACCCAACAGGAGCAATTAGAGTCTCATTTGGTTATTACAATACATTCAATGATGTTGACAAATTAGTATTAATGGTGTGTAGATGTTTTGTACGGACCGTGTTCAAGAAACCAAAGCGTACAATGACTTGTCTGCAGGAACTTTCTGTGTATAAACCTGTGAAAAAAGCCTATAAAGAAGGAATGATAAAATTAATGAATGATAGAACTTATTTCAATGGCTACGACATATTACCAGAGACACCTTTAGAAAGTAGTGATATTATTTTGGATGAAATAGCAATATTCCCTATAAAATCTTGTGGTGCATTCAAGATTAAAACCATTTGGAAAATTGGTCTCAAAGGTTTCGAATATGACAGGGAATGGATGATTATAAGAGAAAATGGAGTGTGCTTGACGCAGAAACAAAGTACACAAATGTGCATGATCAAACCAGAAATAGATCTGAAACGTAAACTTTTAATACTACATTTTAAAGGTATGTATCATAAAAGAAATTTGTATTGTTTGTTAATTTATAAAACCGTCTATACCACATTACTTTCAACAAACTTCTACTAAAACTCTTGTTTTATTTAGTTTACTACAGTTGAATTAGTTATTATGGTTATCAAATCGTAAAATTTTCAGGTAAACCTTCTATATCAGTACCACTAGAGCCAATAATAGAGAACAAAACAAAGTTTGCAAGTATGTGTACCAGCAAAGTTTGTATGGATATGGTCAAAGGATATGACTGTGGAGATGATGTATCCGATTGGATTTCAAATGCATTAGGAATCTCATTCCTCAGATTAATTAAACAATCAACCACTGATGTTAGACCTCAGAAGAAAAATGCTGACGGTGAACAAAAGTTACTGTCATTATGCAATCAAGCTCAATTTCTCTTAATAAATAAGGCCTCAGTAAGATGGCTGCATGGAAGAATCAAAGATCCATTGTTCGCAGCCACTGTTGATAACCTTACAGATCGTTTTAGAGGAAACCTTATAATTGATAGAGCTGTGGAGTTAACTGAAAGAGAATGGCATAGAATTATTATTGGAAAACATGAGTTTAAGGTATGTGAAAATGTGTCATCGTAAATTTAAAAGAAAAATGTGTTTGATTGTTTCATTCATAACTCTAAAACTGTTAAAACATTCCAAAACTTCACAATATAGATTGTAGTTGCATGAAAAATAATTTTGTGTGAAGTCTTTACAAGTTGGATGGGAATCCTAGTCCAGTAAAATGAGAAAGCCCTATTTTCTAAATTCCTATGGTAGTAATCATTGGATGTATGTATTGAAAATCAGCTCACTTATTACTAAACCATTGAGGTGTGGCTCAACAACTAAATTGGCAGTTCATAGCTTAATGAGATACTAACACTATGAGAACCTGAACTATTACTGTATTATTATTATTAATAATACATGGGAGCCAATGAGCTGAACCGTCCACAGACCAGGTCCAAACAGTCCAGTTTGATCTGCTTCACCCGAGCAAACTGTGAGCTAATTTGAAGGTTTAAAATATAGTTACTCATGGTTAGTAATTATGTTTTTCATGTTTAAGGTGGACGGTCCCTGCCAGCGTTGTCACATGATCTGCATTGATCAACAAACTGGTGAGAAGACGGCTGAACCTCTGAGGACTATATCTGAACAGTTTGCAGGGAAAATGCGCTTTGGTATATATTTAAGCTATGTAGGTCCAGTGAATGGTATGAAAGATAAAGCTTTGAAAGTTAACTCTATTGTAAAACCTATAATCAATGAAGATGATATCAGCAGATGAAGTTTGAACTAACACTTGTTAATAAGTTTTCTGTAGGGGTAAGAAAAAGAAACATCTGATTTTATAACAGTAAAACATTTGTCTGTCAAATATTTTGAATATGGTTAGTGTCCAGAATTCATTCCGCTTTCTGACTTTTACTTTGGGATAATATTGAATTTTACTTTAGAAATTATGATTGGTATTGATTAATTACTAAATTCAATTTTTTTTTTATTATTTTTGGATAAGACCTATGTTTTACATTACTGTACTAATTAATAGGTTTTGATTCTAAAATTTAAGTTTTATAATTTATCTTACATTTAAGTGTAAGGCTTTTCTGTGTTCCTATACAAGTGCTGTTCCTTTATACCTTATATTAAAAAAATTTAAAACTCAATTTTATATAGCATTCCATACCAGACTGGCTCAGTTCACTTTAATAGATAAACATTATTAGTATTAAGAAAGGGTGTTGGTCATAAGTTATGAAAGTTATGAAGGTTGTTATTAACAATGTTAAAAAATTTTAAGCTCAAAAACATACATTATCTTGCCTTTATAGAACTGTGATTTTTAGATTAGAAAAAATTATTTACTTTGCAGGTTGTTTACGAATTGATCTGTTTTCAGCTAAATCTATGAGATTTTAGTATTTACATCATTTTGAAGGATTTACTTTACAATTAGAAACATTTCAACAGATTTTTGTGGTAAAATATCTTTTAGCATATACAAGAAACTATTTATCCTTTTATGAGAATATTCTTTAAAATTACAGATTAGGAAATGCAGTCTAATATGTAAAATATTAAGATGTGTTTTAATTTTCACTAATGTTTTATTTTAAAGGTATTGTAATGTTTTATCGATTTACTTTTAAATTTTTAAGCTAAATTCTAACAATTTGACAGTAAAAGGTGTTACATACTGTAAACACAGCTTATTTAAAATGAAATTTTTATTCCACACATCACACTGTATTTACATTTTGTTACACTAGTTTCTATTTTACTTTTTTTACACTGGTTTGTTGATGTTATTTAAATAAATGTTATGATATTGCACAGTTTATTGGTTGTTGTCCTTTTATTATTTTTGGTTCATCTCCTTTAGAAACATTTGAAATAACACTTACTACTTCTTCATAGTCAGGTAATGCCATTGTTTGTAACTTTGAATAAATAAGTTTATCATTTATTAAAATTTCGAATGCACCTAAAAAAGAAAACTACTGTAAATATCCGTTACGAATGAATACAGGCATTTAAAAGTAATTTCATAACAAACCTTGGCGTCCTCTCTTGCATAATACGACTGCATTTGGTGTACATTTTTTAATAGCGTTTGCTAAAGCAAGGCAATGTCCGCTGTAATCACAGGCACCACTAGAACAGTTTTAATAATATTATGAAAAAATAATTATAGACCGAAATTTTTAAGAGAGAAATATTACCAATATTCAATTTGTACTTTAACATCTTTGTTATCATTTGACCTTTCCATTATATTTTACAGGCACAGTGGCATTTTTATTTCTGGTTTCTGATAAAATTTAGCAATTTTCAAAACAACTTTTATAAAATAGAACCAAATTCTACAAATAAGTATGTAAGAAACCAATTTACCAAATCAAAACAGTTTCATGTCATTATCATCAATGTTGCCAATGAAAATTTTTTAACCGTCGGAAAAAATCCATTTTCGTATGGAAGAAATCGTTTGAGAGAGTTGAAAGAAAGGAAATGTCGTTTGAGAGTATGTTTATGTATATTTCTAATAAAAATCGCCAACTAATTGTTTTAGGGAGATTGAGAGAACAGAAACATCGTTTGAGAGTTCTAACTTTCTCTGTAAAAAATATCTAACTTTTATCCACAGACTCTAGTTAATTTATATTCTCTTTGGTTCTTTTGTACGTTTTGACATCTAAATTTGAAGTTTGAGCTGCTTTTTGACCACTTAACACTCGTTATTTGTATTAATTGTATTATTTTTATATTAAATTGTCGGGAGAAGATTTATTGTGAAAATTTTAATAATTAAAACATTAAATGATTCAGTTAATCTTTCATAATGTCTGCCGCAAATATGGACTACGACTATCTAATAAAACTACTTTGCGTTGGTGATTCAGGTGTAGGAAAAACTAGCTTTTTGTACAAATACACTGATGGCGTTTTTCACACTCAATTTATATCTACTGTGGGTATAGATTTCAGAGAAAAAACTGTGGTACGTTCACTTTTAGCATTACCTTTTGTTTATCTCGTCCTATTTCAAATGTCAAAGTTCCAACTGGAACGAGGTCTATAATTATAGTATCTAGTGTTGTCTTCTATACTTATATTTACATTACACAGATATGTTATTTCTATATAGTAATAAACCTTTTTCCTAACAATGGATATATTGATCGATTGAAATATTATTTTCTTTTTAAGATCTATCAACAGAATGGGAGACAACATCGTATACATTTACAACTGTGGGATACTGCTGGGCAAGAGAGGTAAGCATTACTTTTGGGTTGCTAAGTGTTAAAGATTGCAGTGGAAATTTTAATAAAATTTACAGGTTTCGCAGTTTGACTACTGCATTCTATCGTGATGCAATGGGTTTTCTTCTGCTCTTCGATTTGACGAACGAGGCTTCCTTTCTAGAAGTACGGAACTGGATTGAGCAGTTAAAGGCAAGTAATGAAAATTATTATCTTTGCAGCTCCTACAAGACAGAGAATGTGAATTTTCAGAAGAACCTTCCTAGGGACATAATATTGAATTATAAGTACAATAAATATTAACTCTATTATTTATAAAAATCTTATGATTTCAATTTACAACCTTATTGACAGGGTTTTCTAAAGTTTATGAACAAAAACAATATGGTTTTAGTTAAAGTTCTTCCTAAATATTTCAGACCCACAGTCTAAGTGATGACCCAGACATTGTCCTATGTGGTCATAAATGTGATTTACAAGAAAAAAGACTGGTGAATCAGAACCGTGCCAGAGAATTTGCCAAAAACTACAACTTGCCATATTTGGAAACAAGTGCCAAAACAGGACAGAACATTGATAGAGCCATTGAAATACTTTTAGACAAAGTTATGTACAGGTATGAATACATATTTTTTCATGTCACAGACAATGTCTTGAGATTTTTTCAATACTTCAATGTGAAGTAAATTGTTTCTTATTTACACAAATACATGATATGACTAGTGATCCATTACACAGGGCACCCTAGCTTGGACGCCAGTCCCCTGCCCAAGGGAAAAATGAATAAAGCATTTTTCTTTTATCATTGTTTTTTATGATAGCTGTGGAGTTGGGGAAAGTCAAGTTTGTAAAAATAAAGTAACCCTTAAATGTTTTAAGATCTCTATTTATTCATTTGTATTTTTCTCTCTTCCTAGCTTGTATCCCTTATGATTGTAGGCTTTCCTGATAACTCTTCCATGTCACTCTCTCCTTAACAACTTCTATTGAGACTGACATGACATGACTGACATTCTACTGAGAAATTGACAACAGATTTTCTATTAAAATTTCAGAAGTGTAGGAGACAAAATAAGTCTAAGTAGACCTCTTATTTGATTTAGTTTTTCTCCTCCTCAGTTCATGTTATTACATCCTTGTGTGTAAAATATTAGTTTATATATTGTATACATACATGTAACATAGCTAATTATATTTACAGAATGGAGCATTCAGTAGAATACGCAATGCTGTGTGCGTCGGGACGCAGGCGACAGTCCCTGCAGAAACTGCAAGCGAAGCAAGATAGAAAGTTCTGTTCATGCTAATCTCAAGTTAAGTATACCATTCCATTGTTGAATTCCATTACATAAATTATATATGCTTCCATTCCCTAAATGTATCTTCCATTTTTAATAAAGTGCAATCGCGGAAATTTGCAGTGTTCCACTTGTAGAAAAATAACCATACTTCGTGTAACAAGACAAACTCTACCCCTTCTTAAAAATAACCATTTAGGTAGCTGTGTATGCCTAAAGAACGATAATAATGATCTTTTACTTACTTATTAGACTTTCTTATGTACAGAAACATATAAAAGCGGATTATTGTTCCATGTCGTCGTTTATTAAGTGAAACACTGCCAGATTCCACTATTATACATTTGTTTTAAAATTATAGTATTATCTGTGTAAATGTGTTAAATGGCCCATTGATAACATACAGTTTTATTATCACAAACATTTTTATGATTTATTTATACATATTGTATGTAACATCTATAAGCACATTTTTAATATTTTAAAAGAAAGGTTTATTACATAGTATTCAACTAAGAGCTTGGTGCTAGTGTGAATATTTAAACGAATTATTCCTTATATTATCATTAAATTGGCCTTACATTATGCCATCCTCTTTGTGCCAAATAATTCTGACTATTATAAAGAATCTAATACTAATTTATTAATATTTATGTTCAAGTGGCATTTTTATTAGCTAATAAGCAACTCTCAAATGTTTTGTTTCAATGCACTATAAATAAATGTTAGGATGTTAATTTGAATTTTTAATATATGTAGGGGCCTTTATTATTTACTTCTAAGTAGAATGTGAACCAAATATTGAAGATTTATATTTAAAAAACTTTCAATGTAAGTGTAATAAAAATGTAATCTATATATTTAAGAACTATGCTTTTGTTATTGTTGCGGTTAAGTTTGGTACATTGTTTTGAGTTTTAGCACATTATTTAAGAATATAATTTATGTACTTATGCATTATTCTGAAAGTTACATAAATAATTACATGTTTTAAAAAATAGAACCAACACTGAATACATAAATGTACGGGCCCTTTGTGGTGTTCACTTTAATAAAAAATTGCCCTGTTCCTTGGAACTAGACAAACTCCGATTCGTACAAAAACCAAGTAGTAGTTGCACAAACAAAGCGAGAACAATAAAAAGCAATTAGCCGTATACTGACCAGTTATTTTTTAGTACAGACTATCCTATTGATTATTGTTATGTGTCGTCATCGTCTCAATGTGTATAAAAAGTTTACATGTGGATCACCGTCAGATTCTCTGATAGTACATCAACGATTTTATAGTATAATTCGAGTATTGAGCTTTTAATGCAAATGTAAACAATCTTTTGATATCTTTATTATCTGTATGAACACTTAGGTATCATTTTATTTATTATACTATTCAATTAATGAAAACACATATGTTTTTTAGTTTATAAAAAGTAATGCAGAATTAATACTATTTAAATTTTAAAAAGAAAATTGGACCTATCTAGGGCTATGTTTAAAGAGACTGATTTTCTCAAGTAACTTCATATTTATTGTGTAAACATTTCATGCAAATTACATTCACACAAATTATTGTTAATGTAACAGAAAAAGATTTTTTTTTAATTATAGCTTTATAATTTTAAGGTATTGTTTTTTTTAGTATAAATACAGGGTACATTCTAGTCACATGATGAGATTTGGTTTTATAATTTTTAATATGAATCCTTTTTATTCACATTTTTTTTTGTGTGTTTATTGCAATTGAATTTGCTTATTATGATTGGTATAGGGTTTTTTTACGGGTTTTTTTTTTGTGCTTGAGAATTTATATAAAAAATTAAGATTAAGATTGATGAAAAAATTCTACGTATTTTTTAAACTTAGGGTCTCTGAAACATTGTTTAATATCAATGGCAAAGGTATTTTTTTTAATACAATTCAAGAATCATTTGCACAAATTAAACGCACAGTGATGTCTACTATTATGAACCCATTTTCAACATAAACCTATCCATATCACCTTATAAAAACATTGTCACTTTATATGAACCTTGTTACCTTATACAAATAAAACCTAGTAATTAAAGTTTTCAAATTCTCTAAAGACTCCATTCCATTTTAGTATTTTATTCCTCCAAAATTATACGATTTATTAATTATAAGCATTTTGGAATTATATGTACAGTTATCCTTTGATGGCTTTTATAAATGTTTATCTATTTGAAAGATTTTGCCTTCAATTTTACATAATACATGAACAGTGGCGACTTCCCCGACCAACTGCCATTTATATTGAGGTTTGTCAATTGTAAACAATACATGTTTGATGTTTTCAATGGATTAAAATATTATAATACAATATGTTTTATTTACCCTTCGTAACCACGACTGTTAAAACTAATAAAACTAGTTAACTACTTACAAAACTTTAACAATAAAATCTCATATATTATGAATACTATGCGAACACTATAACGTGAGATTTGTGTTTATTGCGTCACTTCCGTAAACAATCGACAATCTTGGCAAAGATGATCACAATGTCCACTGTTATCTATACTAATATTATAGAGAGGAAATATTTGTATTTATGTATGTATTGAAATAACTCGGAATACTAGACCGATTTTTATAATTCTTTCCCCGTAATCAGTAACATAGACTTTTTTATTATTTCCTGTAGACAAAGTCGCGAGTAATAAGTGTATAATCCAATTAAACTGAACGATGCAATTTATAATTGATGATTTTAAATGCATGAGGTCTCATCTTACGTATCTGCGTATTAATGCACACCTAAGCTATGAAATCAATTTCAATGTCTACAAAATGGCTGAAGCAGCCACTCAGACGTGCATAAATTAAATTATGCGTGTGATTATGTCAAGAAAATCTGTTAAGTAACGAAATATGTGGGTATAACGTAATCTACTATTTAATCAACAGTAGGACTTTCGAAAATTATTTGTTCATAATAGGTCATAAAACTTTGAAAACGAAGATGTACGTAGTATTTAGGCTAAAATCTTATTGGTCATACGATCTTATGCGCCCGTTTAAATTTTATTGCCAATAGCTAATAAAAAACCAAGTAATGACAAGATGAGATCCAGTCGCCAGACATTAACCCCTAAGGCTTGATATTGGAAAAAAGCCAAGTTTAATAAATCGATCATATCTCATGCAATAACTATTTGGCTAAAGCTTTTACTATTTACTTTATTTAGCAGGTAACTTCTAAGTAGTGTTTTTAACTATTTTTGATGTATTCTTCATTCTTAAAAGTTTTTTTGTTAATCTGTGTTATTTATCAATACATTTATTTAAAACAACAATATTGTTAGGAAAATAGTGGGGGGGTAGTTTTAAAAAATATATGGCAAAGAGTGGCTCGGACTCAGTTGCAGTCTCGGCGCTTAGTCGCCAACAAGCTCAGTGTTTTACTAGTCGTCACCACGGAACGTTCGATATATTTGCATTGTCGCATTGGAGTTCGGATTGTGTTTTAAAGTAATTTACAAGTATTGTTAATATGGCCGTCCGTCTATATTTTAAAGGAAGTCATTTGTGGAAATATCTAACAGTAAAGTACAATGTGCAAGAACTTTATGATAAATCAAATGTCGGATTTGAACCCGCGACCTTAACGTTTTCTTCTTTAATAAAGACATTTCAGTTCAACCACTAGATACAATAACCTGAGGTTATATTCGTCACTTTTTTACAATGACCCTTTTTAATACTAAGTATACTGATCGAACTTCGTTACCAAGTCAGTTTTTAATTGTAATCGGAGAAGGGTTTATGACGTGGTCATAGGGATAGGGGTGCGTATAATAAAAAACGTGATAATTAAATATAAATGTATAACCTATTTTTTAATTTTTGACAAACAACAAAGCTAACAACGTGACGTAGACATTAATAGGTTTCACAGATAGCCTCAATTTCATAGGGATAAACAAGACGTTTCTACATGGACATAAAAGCACCCCTATAAAATAAAGTTTTATATCTCGCAGCGAATAACCGCCTGCATTAGATCGGGTCGAATTTACTCGTATAGCTTTGAAACCCTAAACTAGGATTGAGATCGGAGGGCGACGTGAGCTCACCTAACTGCAATCAGCTCCAGCCCCTCGGATCGCACGTGATGTATCCGCTTGCAGTATTTTAGCATAAAATGATTGCATTTAAACTCTGACACTGAAACTTAAGGTATATTTTTCAGTAACATCGTCTTAAAAGCTCAAAGTGACTTATTACTAAAGTAAAAATAGACTTTGCTGTTTTAAGAATAATGTTCAGATTACTTTTGTGTTTGAGAGCGCATCGTCCGCCCTCATCGCGCGTGCGCGGAAGTTCACGTACGTCACACTAGCGCTAACATTGGGTGCACTCAATGTGCCGAATCGGTTATAACTTTGTATTCTATTTACCTAAAATGTTTGGATATTATATTTTGATAACAATTTAATCGGGAAATAAAGTTCGAGTCAGTATGTTTTTTATATACTCGTTGTTAGCAGAAAACAAGACTTTTATAGTATCATTGCATATGCGGCTATCTTCAGTCCGGTAGTGAGTTTGTTTATGTATTGAAGGACAACAGATCGTGTAGCCGGCTTCTGCGAGCTCCGTATTTTGGATTCGCGTGTGTTGTCGCTCGCAGTCGGAAGGCATGAATTGAGCAGTTACGAACGGTTACGTTTCTGCGTAACATTGACTGAAACATTAAATGGTAAATTGGTTCACGTAAATACTCGTGCTTGTGCCTGTGTTGTACTGTAACTGTAAGGGAATTGAAAAGGATTTAAACATTTTAAAACTAAATTGGGGGTAAGTACAATTTAAGTCACTTTTCTATAATCAGTTAATTGGTAAATTTGAAGATTACTTCTTTTGTTTTTGAATTTTAAACGAAAACATTTTATATGTATAGTTTGGTTTAATACTTTGTTACTTTAAAAATAAAAAAATAATTTAAGTCTTAAAACTGCACGGTAGCTCAAAAAGTCTTTTTTAATTAATTTTCACTCTACAACCAACTAAAACAATATTTCTTTTCAAATTTTCAAATTTTAAAACTTTTGAAGTCATTTGAGTGAAGTTTTCCACAACATAAGAACATTAATCGTTCGCTAATGTTGACTGTAAGTATAGTTAAGCTTTCGTCCATGATTTTTTTAAAAAATACGTCTACTAAGTATGTTATGATAAATATTAATTATTACGATGCATCCATCGATATTATAAAAAAGTCTAAGCACATAGCATATGACAAAGTGCTCTAATGCAATCTGTATCAATTAGTTTCACTTCAGATGATAGATGACTCACCGTTTAAAATATAGCATCAATTATATGATATTACGTGATTTTTAGCACTATAAAAGTATTATTTATTTAGAAAAATGTCCCGCGATTATATCTCTCCTTGAGTTTTCTCTAAAAGTCTGTCTTGGTAATCCAGTTGAGAAAAATGTAGAGTGTTAACTAAGCATTTTAACACCACTTATTGAGACATTAAGTACTTGCAAACTTATAAGCGTGCATCGAAGAACTGTTTATAATACACGGGGCCTTCTTCATGTCCAAATTGCTTTCGCCGGTTTTCGAAAATAACCTCGAAATCATTAAATTATAATCCATACGATATAAAAGAAAAAAATCTTACTGACGTCTTACAAGTTATTTGTGTAATCCGAACAATTATTTATTTTCAAATAGAACTAAAAGTAAAATAGTACATTTCTTTAACGACGGTGGTTCGAAGTACTGCCGAGCTCTTGATAAGTTTTAATTAATTTTAATGACATAACTAGAGTCTTGTTGTTTTAAGTGTGTACTGGAAACAGTCGCCTTATAATTAAACAGCCGAAACAATTACACGCTCCCAAGATCTACTTTATGTTGCAGTGTGATGCTCGACAACCTATTTAGAATACTAAATTGTACTAAATTGCTTAGAACTAACTAACGTATTTAGGACGCAATTTCGTGAAACAATTGGTAAAGCACATTTATGAGTACATGCATATGTGAAGTTGTGGACCTAGATGTTTATAACAGATTATAGCACTGTTTCCTTAGCAGCGTAGGTGCAAAGTCTGCTTGTAGTTTGGCATAACGTCTGATCTGTGCCACAATAACCCAAACCGCTGCATCATTTTAATCATTAGAAACGCTGATGAGTTTCTAAATAGTTTATGATTACTATCGACAAGTTGACGGAAGATGTATGTGAGAAAATTGTTTGTAATCGGCTCGCACGGTTATTGCCTGTTTCGAAGATAACCATGATTGTGTTAATTTGTCATTTGTCATTGTTTGCTTCAGTATTAAACTTATATACTGTAAAATATCTTTTACTACATTAAATCAAACTGGCACTAAAGGTTAGATCGATCAGACGACGAAAATAACACAGGGTTAATTCGTTTTTAATTCACAACAAATTGCCTACAATTAGGTGTTTTATTGCAGATATCAAGGCAATGATGCATCACGATCGTAAGCGTAGAAATATGTGCGTGGGTTCAATGTAACTCGATTCCAGCTGGGATAGCATCGTGCCATCAATCTTTCGTATAGACGCCCTCGAAATATGCCAAATAATGTACTGTTAAAGAATTTAATTTACTCCCCACTTACGATCGAAAACCGTTCATCAAACTGTCACCTTAAGTAAAATAAAGGATATTTTTTCCTATGACACTTTTTACCTAATTGTATGAGCGACAAATGATATCGCAGTTCCTCACACACATGTACCTGATTGAAATCTGGA